AAACCTCATCTCGCCATAGTTAAAAGAAAATACCAAACGCCCGACGGAGACTGAGGCAACTGATATATTAATTCTTTCAACTGTGATCTCGCGCTAATTCACTCTGTCAGAAATCATGTATCATTCATCTCTGTCTGGAATAGTCTTGTTTCAGTATTAGGGTTTTGACGTTACATCATCGCCTCGTTTTCAGAGGTCCGAAAAATCGGGGATTTCAGTAATTTTTTATAAAACGTTAGGACCTCACAGCAAGAAACGGTTTGCGGTGGTGAGCTAGTTTGGGTGAGTTACGGTTCTATCGAACTATGAAATGAAATTTTTTTGTGATATAAGCCCATCGGCTCAAAAGTCGTCCATTTTTGTGCCAAAATTAGCTCTTGAAGTTCACGTTTGTCTTGCTAACACCTTTCTGACACATTAAAATGATAAGTATGTATGTTGCTGACTAGGTTGGTGTCTAGGAGCTAATGTTGAAGTTTAACTCATGGGAACTAAAAACGTGTAGGATAAGAGCTGATATGATAGCTGCTTGGACACTGACATGCTCAAGTGACTCAAAATAGTTGGATTTCCACTTATATTATAGATATCAATTATTTCGATTGCAGAAAAAATAGCATGTTTCATTCGGATCAAAAGTGACACTGTTTGACTCGCAAAATTTGCGTGCTCGGCTTCGCGGTCGCTCTACGACACATTCGAAGTGTTGAATTACATCAGTGTGGAATAACAATATTTCAACTCTAAAAAGTTAACACCGAGCACTATACTCATTTACTTCGGATGGATTTTCTATGCTGTGTAGTCATAGAAACTACCATTATTAAGTCCTTTTCAAGGCGTAAAGTGTTTTATGCACTAGCGGGCCGTAAAGTGCACTTTACCGCCCGGTTTTGCGGGCGTTAAGTCGCCCGCCCGCTGTTCTCACTCAGTCACCTTATATCCACGTATCAATTCATGAAAAACCTATGATCATATTCCTAGATTCTAATATGTCCAGCGGTATATCATAAACTTCTTCTTTATCCGATTCCATAGTCTCGCTATTATTATTATCACAATTTCACTTTTCAGTCAAAAATGACAATTCACAATTCAGCTCGTTTATTGGATGTATTGCTATAGACAACAACCATCAGATTGATTGACAACGTCAAAATGAGTTAGGTTTATATACTGGGTATGCATATTGTAAAATTCTGAAGAATGAATCTCTTCTAGAGCTGAAAGAGTTTTACTATTACGATAATCGCAATATTCGTAGGATAATTTTCAAATGTAAATCATCCATGAACATTACGCTTCTCTTGATTACTGAATTAATACGTAACAAATTAAATTCTGGGGAATATTAGTTTATCGAAATCTATAGTCATTACTTATGAGTCAGAAAATAAACCACTAGTGCATGAAATTTTGTATGTATCTCGTGCGTGAAATGCTTTTATGGCCTTCAGCGTGTAATGGCCCTCGGCTAGTGCCATCGGGCCATTATTCACGCCACAGGCCCTAAACGCCTACTTCACGCCCTTGATACATAAATAACTATTATTTACAACCAGATATGTAATGTTGTCATTACTAACGTCATTTAAGTTTGGGAAGTTTCACATTACACACCTCTACTTCCCGCCCTCACTTCCTGCCCTCACTTCATTTTTGAATTCAGCATAAAAAATATAATATTGAAACACCATCTTCAGAGCTATTCAAGAGAATCCACCATCCTCAGGAGCAGAGTCATATTTCGAACTTCTGGTAATTTGTCTTCAAATATTTCAGGTATGTTCCGAACGAAACAGAGATTTATTAATTTTGATCGAAATATGATGGTTGCAAATTGAATAGTATACAAACCTCGGTAGGAAGTTTCATTCCTGTCTCGAGATCTCGACACTTTGCGTCTCGTTTAACTAACTATAATCTCACGACAGGAATGAATTTCTTCCCACCTCGGTGTGTAATATACCAAGGTGGTTTTCGTCATCTCGAAATATATTGCTAGTGGTGAAAAAAATAATAATACTTATTACACCTTGCTAGTTAATTATCACGGGATCTTATACCCCTCGGAAGGAGCCTCGGGATATAATCTTGGTCCGGTCCCTGGGTTATAATGATATTCTTAACTACCTTGGTAATCTTGGTGTATAAATAACTATTAATAACCAGGTATACATTAATTCTTTCTACCACTAGCAAATTAATTCAATCATTATATTGTTCTATCCATAGCAGCATATGAGAAATCGATATTGATACCCCGTGATACCCACTAGATTCAAGTGCCATTCCTGCGAATATCGCAGCAGAACAGTGAATTCAGATTAAAATTATAACAGAGTATAGGCTATGTCTTTATTGACTATAGTAGTTCATGAAATGACGAAATTTATATTATACCTTGGTAGAAAAAACAAACTTTATGCCTTGAAAAGGAGTGAATAATGGTAGGTGCAATATCTAGTAGTGGAAAAACAAATTTTTATATAGTTACTTCATGTTCCTATTATCAATATGTAATTTGATTCTCCGTCTTTATTCTTAATTAATTTATATTAATTTTCCTTGTTTGTCTTCATTCGAACAATATAGTTATTTATTATACAAGGGAAAAAAGTAGTAGATTTTAGCTCCAGGTTGTGTTGTCTTCCGACGCGTAGCGGAGGGAGACAAAAAACCGTGAGCTAAAATCTAATATTTTTCCCGTGTATAATACACTATTTTTTTCTGTGACAGAAGAAAGGATATTGAGAAGATATTACATTATTTTGAAATTTGAAAATAATCGACGTGAAATTTTAAGTTTTTAACAGTAGGGACACCTGCGTTGTAGGCATCTTCATCATTCTTTTGAAGTAATCAAATATCTGATGTCACTTCTGTCAGTCTAATTCTGTGATTTGATTTCAAAAAATTGTAAATTTGGTGGTTGTTTAGTAATATACGTAACCGCGAAGACGAATGGAAGATAAAAGGACTTGCAGTTCTTTCTCGGAGACGGTATTATTGACTCATTTTTCGGAACTATAGCACAACAAAAGACAGCAACAGTGTATATATATGTGATATATATCTGGGAAAAAAGTACTCACTTTTTTTCCACGGGAAAAAAGTAATTCATGAAAAGTGACATTTTATAACCTGCCAACAGAGATGAAATGCCAAATTTTTTTCCCGTCACAGAAAAAAATAATTCTGTTTTCCATTATATTTCACAAAATCCTGTTTGTTATGTTATATTCTTCATTTTGTTGATCAATTACTTTTATTTAAAAAATGGTTCATGCTGGAAAAATACGAAGACCCGAAAAATTTGGAATATTTTTGAGTATGAAAGGCGGCGCGTTGATCATAGCACCAGGCGGCAAATTACCTTAAACCGGCACTGTGAATAGGTGAACTTTGTTATTTGAGATAATGATAATGTGAGCCAAACTGTTGTTAAAATAAGGTTCTCTCGTCTCGTATTATGGATACGAAAATATTGTATACGAGGGTCATGGCTCGATTAATAATAATAGGCAAATTATCACATGATTATTATTATATTTGAAAAATCATGAAAATAATAAAAAATGAACATTCGAGTAATGTTAATTTTCAAATGAAATAATCAGTATATGGGTAGGCACTGTTACGAGGTTCACAACTTCTGAGGAGAAAACTGAATAATAAAAAAAAACAGATTCCTTAGTATATGACATAATGTATGTACCTACTAATAAACTAATAAGTATTATTCATAATCATTAATCAATGAAATATTGATAATTAATAACGACGCCAGAGATACCTGACGGTGGTAGTAAGTAGCAACTTCAAAAACTGTGTCACAGGCAAAATTCTTCAATATTTCAAAGTATATAAACACTTTGTGAATGTTGTAGGTATGTTATAGGTTTTCGAGTACATATTGACATTTAATTTCAAAAAGTTGGGAAATTATTTTGAAAAATCAATAAGTATGACACTAGGGATCCTTTCCTTCGCGATGTTTTCAAGATAAGGCATATCTGGCAAACCAGGAGACGGCGATGAATTCGAAAATTCCATAGTATGTATGAATCAACATGACTTACGCACCTTACTCGTCTGGAATATTCAGGACGATGCGGCATTGCCGCTTCTATACTAGAAACTTACAACAATTTTAATTTTTCAAATGGAACACCCTGTATATAACTATTAAACTCTACAGCGTCTTACAAATTTCATGAAACAAACACGCTGTGATTGCTACACCCGGTGTGTATAGAAAAGAGGTTTTCATCATGCGAATACAGTGTGTATACCAATGTTCAGAAGGAAATAATAAACTGTCATTCAAAACAAAAAACGTCCAAATCGGATAAGTAGGTACTTTTGACGAAAATGTTCACTAAACTTTTGGCTACTTTTTGGTGGTGCGCTAATTTCTCGGAGAAGTGTATTTCATTAGAGATCTATGATGAGAGATATCCACAACTTCCGAAGCCGAATAATAATGTGAAAAATCGACTTCTACAAATAAACTGTGGGTTGGATGAAACAATCCATCCAAAAATCATTAGTAGAAAGGCTGAAGTGGATGATGATGTCAATGACATATAACAGTTTCGGGATTTCTTAAAATGCATTAAAATTAAAATTTGTTTGAGACGGTTCTCGAAAACGGTTCAACGTCGAATTGAATGTGAAGTACCTATCTGCGTTTTCTGAACACCATGTATGAGGCTAATAAAAATCAGGTTCTGGAGTGAGGATACTCAAGGTTTGAATCTCATCGTCTCAGCACTCTAGAATTCAAGTTCAGTCCCTGTCTTCATCTGAGCTTGAGACCTGCTTGGGGCTGGATGCATAGGCAACTCACAATACAATCATCAGTTATGTGGGTTGCCTGCCTGCGGTCAGTTTACCTGTGAGCAAAATCTAATTTTAGTGATCACCTGTTACCTGTTGCTTCCCCCAACCCTGACTACACTGCCATGTCCCTACGTCATCATTTTCTAAACAGACTCGTCGGAAGTGCAACGACTTGCCTTTCGTTTATCTGGTAGGTTAGGTCGAATCTGTGCGCCAGAGTTGTCGAAAATGCTGCCAGATTTCGTGGATTTTCCGACTGAATAGTGTACACAGGGTGTTTCGCGAAAATGTGCAGAACGAGCGTCCGAGCTAAACACAAAATCAGTGGGGTTGTGTAGTATTATTTCGTTTTGTTAACGTCTCTTTCTGGAATTACCTACCTAGTTTGAATTTGTTTTGTTAGGTTTACTTATTTATTTCTGTGTACCTGTGTGTCTTGTGTACTGTGTGTGTCCTTTATACCTGTCCGTCTGTATTTGTAATGGGAACCTCCTGTGGGCTGCTATTTGCATTGTTTGTCGCTTTGGTAAAGGTATGTACCTATGTTGTATGTACCTTATGTATATTGTATTGCGAATAATTTTAGATTTAGATACCTACCTACATATATTTATACTCGTATTTATACAGTGTAGAGACTGGACTGGAATAAATTCGTTAGCGGAGAGGTATGAATATTTTTTCTAAAACTTCCCGACATATCTACATCAACGATTCAATGTATTTACCTACCTTATTTTGCCAGCAATATCATTGGAAAGGTGGTGGAAGGAGGAATCCAGCGTACTAGTCAAATTTTAGTTTTTCATACGTTCTGAGGTTGCATAAAATTGAAATGTAATTTCAAAATTCAAATTTTTTTATAGAGCAGCAAAAAGAAATTGAGTTTTTTTGCCGTATTCACAGTGCAAATTTAAGTGTTATTGCAAACTGGTGGAAATGCCCTATATCACTGCCACTAAAAGTCGAAATTTTGATGAAAATTTACGTTGAAAATATATAAAACTTCGAAATTATATTTTGATTTCACCTATGCGACCTGCAAACTGAAATATGATCAGCACGCTGGATTCCTCTTTCAACCCGCTTTCCAATGAGGGGTCGCAAGCCATATTTTTGCATTTGAAAAAAAACATGTTTGGGTTGATTCCTGCCCGATTCCAGCTACCCCATCGGCTACCCCTGAATGGTTATGTTCTGTATATTGCTCGCCAAATATAGGTAAATACATTTAAACGTTGACGTGTCTCGCGAATTTTCAGAAAAATCCTCGGAAAAATCTCGGAAAAATCATTCACTTTCCCAGTAGCGAATTTATTCCAGTTAAAGTCTCCGTCAAAGTCTCCACCAGTTCACCCTGTATATATCATCGAGGGGTAAATCTCCAGGAAAAATGTGTACACCAGAATTCCAATCACCAAAGACTTCCAAAGACTCCCAAAGACTTCCAAAGACTCCCAAAGACTTCCAAAGACATCCAAAGACTTCCAAAGACATCCAAAGACTTCCAAAGACATCCAAAACATCCGCAAAGACTTCCAAAGAATTCCAAAAAATTCCAACGGAGTGTACGGTACACCAGACTTCCAAGGAGATTTACCCCTCGTATATCATGCTGTATTTGAAATTGATTGAGGTTGTATATCTCGGAATAAGGGCACTCATCACTTTCAAATATATTCAATTTGCTCGGGAATTTGGTCATTGAACCATTGAACCAATGAGTTCCACATACACTAAATATACAGTTTGTTATTGAATCTTCCGAAGTATCTTCCATTCACCATATACAGTGTGTCCATTGTCCAAGATACGGATGTCTATCATGGGGATCTCGGATCTCGAAAACGGTGAGAGATACAAAGATGGTTTAATGAGAGAAAAGTTGCGAATTTTCCAGCCTGACAATATGCCGTTTAGAAAGTTTCAAAATTCCTAGTAGTTCCGGAGATAATAATATGCATAAAAAACCGAAATTTACCGATTTCGTTTTTATAGAGATTTTTATTTTTTTCTGAAGAGGAAAACGGAGAGGAAAACAAAAGACATATTCTCATTGCCACTTTTCAAAGCTCTACAAAAAAGCGTTGAGAAATTTTCAGTTCGACGTTTCGTTTTGGAGAAACCATCATCAACTTTATTTTTTTATGGCCCTTAAAAAATATATACCCTGTATGAAATCTCCGAAAAACTCTCTACACTGTTTAGTGGAGCTTAAAATAGCTTAAATAGTGGGAACAAGTGTCTTTTTTTTCCTATATCTCTTTAAATAACATCAGAAAAAAATAACAAACGAAATCGGCAAATATCAAAACTTTCTGAACGGCCTATTGTTAGGCAACTTTTCTCTTATTTAACCGAATTATCTTCTCGCTTAGGACCATTGTCGAGACCATTGTCGTTCTAGATGACAACCTAGTTAGGTAGTTAGTAGGCAATAGCTAATGCTTGGACACAGACCATATCGTCCAATGCTGTATTCATTTTGATACCTATTTCAAAGCGAATTTGAAAGTTCCGGGAAGTTCATTATCTATACCAAAGTTTACAGAATTAAAAATATTAAAATATTAATTCTGTAAACTTTGTCTATACCTACTCGATACCATGCATCAATAAATCATTATTGTTGGCTCCAAACTCGTCGCAGTTATCTCGTAGTTATCCATGCAATCGTCCATCCATTATCAAACTAAAAATCAACTCCAAAAATTGTTTCAACAGGTATATAATATGTTTCCGACCTATTTAGGCGGTCATCATCACAATGGATTGTTGAAATGAAAATTCGTTTAGTAGATTGTTTTATTAGGATCAAAAGTGACACTTTGTATGACAAGCGAATTTTGCATTTGCGAGGCGGAGCGGAGCGTCTAGAGAAGCCGAGCGAAAGCAAAATTTAGCAAAATTTGCGAGTCAAACAAATTCACTTTCGATCCGAATGAAACATGCTATTTTTTCTGCAACCGAAAGAATTAACTGAAATATTTATGTGAAGTAACCACCAAGTGGACTCACTTGACAGATTATTAAAATATACCTTTATTATAATGAATGATATGAGCAAGTAGATATAGAAGCAGGACCACAGACTACACGAATTCAATACTATACCCGAAATGTGGATGCCGTGCCATATGTATGCAATCCAACAAATAATCCGTGTGGTGAGAATATTTTACCTGCATTTACAGATCAGGTTTATTCAATTTTCAAGGATGATCGAATTGTAGTTTCAATATAAATACAACCAAAGAGTGACTCATTTGTGTATGGGAAAAATAGACGTGGAAAATGTCCTCGAAAATGTCAGGTTAGTGAGCATATCAACAATAATAATAGCGATTATTCATTCCTCTCCATACTACACTGTGTTTGGCTCGGTAATCAATTGAAGGTAAACAATATCGTTGTGTGAGACAAAAAAGTATTGCTGGCCCTGATTATTCAAAAACATGTTATCCATCCCGAGAGTAACGAATGAAATACAGATCAAGCAAGTATGTGAATCTTGAAGGCTTTCCTGATCAAAACAAAAATACTGAAATGTATATAATTCCTATACTTAACTATAATAAGGTGTATTTATGTCTCCAGCATGGATATGAAATGCCAAATCTCCCGAAATCGGAAACAAATCAGGTATATGGTTTCTAGAAGCTAAAGTTCAACTTAAGCTCCTATGTGAACTAAAAGTGTTACCTAGCAACATACCTAAGTTCGTGTCAGTAATAGAAACATCAATTCAAGAGCTAATTTTGGTATTAAAATAGACGACTTTTGTGTCGGTTGCCGAAAAAAAATATTTCACAACTGGAACTTAGGTATCTATTCTATATCCTTCGATAATTTTAGTCCCTGGAAAACGAGAAGAATGAAGAATACTATTACCTCTCGACGTACCTATAATAATAAACCCTCGAATAAATCCTCGAATAAATCAACCTGAATACATTTGCCTCGATATTTGTTGATTGAATGAGTATAGCTTCAGTCTCGAGTTTTAGCTGTGAATTTATCAAAAGTATTTTAATTGAACAAGGAAGCTACTGATCTCGCTACTGATTTCCCTCAGTAAATTGTCAGTCAATTATCTAGCAATCTAGCAGGATATCTAGGGTCGAGTATTTATTATAGCAGATTATTCTGGAGATTATTGTACCTAGGTACTTATTGTTATTAACTCTGGAATTACTTAAATGAGGTGTGAAAATATTTAAATTGTCTATACGTGTTTATACATATATACCAGGTTCTGTACTCTTATATGTTGATAATCTATCAGAACATCAGAACCTAGATCAGAACTAAATTAGGAACTGAGAGCAAAAGTAAAACAAGAGAAAAACATGATGTGCAACTCTGGATAATAATTTTAATTGTTGATGGTTTTAGATTTGTAAATTTTGTTTAATGAAATTTCGTGGCGTAAATTATAAGTTTCTAGACACTTTACGAGACAATTTATTTACAATTATTGTTTCCTGTTGAATAGCGAGAGACAATTAATATATTTTATAAGACACAGAGAATGCGATGTATTTTTCGAAATATTTCTCGGTATTTTTTTATATGTATACTTCTCGGTATACATTTTTTCCGAGCTCTGTAATAATTGCATTGTTTTTAATCCATATAAACTCATGACGTATTTTCCCACCATGTTTTTCATTTAGTTTTCAGTGTTTCAACTTTTTTTTTGTTCTATGAGAACGATGAGAACCGATGGAACTGTGGGTATCATGTGTCTAGTTTAAACTGACACCATTAAAAGAGCATATGCTGTATCTATTTTTAATTCAAACACTATCGAATTATGTTTGTGTTGGGGATAAATATGAAGTTAATTATAAAGTAGTCACTCGAGTGAGTAAAAAATGTTAGTAAATTCAGGTTAATGGATATATTCATCGGTATATTCTCGATAGGTATACTACGAGTACGAGTACAGAATATGGCGAGGAATATGACTATGACACCGGCTAAAAGCGAGGCTTCAAGTATACCAGATGAAATCTAGCATTGAATTTATTGATTCTAGGTATTTTTTGGAACTCCTCATTGATGATTTATCTAAAAAATGGAAATAAACATCAGTCTTGGGATTTGAATATTTTTTAATTTTTTTTTATATAATTTCTTCAAATGCCTTGGATAATCGTGAAATATTTGAATGATTGAATATTCTGAAAATGAGTTTCTGATTATTTCTGGAATAAGTACCTAAATAATTATTCTCCTGAATGTCTTTTGAACAAGTATGAACTCTGAATACGTTCAAACTTTTTATCGCTTCATATAGAATGCTTCTGTCAAAAACGTGAGCTAATTAGGATCATAATAATCATAGATATAGCTTGTTACGAGCAGTTATACGAGGCTTGTTACTAAATAAAACGAGCGAAAATTAGCTATTTTAACAATAGAAACATATCGTATGAATTCATTGAATGCTCGATTGAATGTAAGATGAGATATAAGGTATACTATAATTTTAACCTTCTCTAAAAAGTCATTTTTGCATTTTGGGTT